AACCGCTCCCACAGCCCCATACCGGAATCATCGCGGCTGGCAAGAATATCCTTGTAGTCAAGCAGGCGGCTGTATACGCCAGCATCTAGCGCGCAAAAGCTGGCGGGGTGAGTGGCGGACGTGGGGCCAAACAGGGCCCTGTCGTTGAAAACCTGGAAGATTGTTTCCGCCGGAGACAGTCCTTGGACATTGAGGATGGTTTCAAAGTCCAAGTTCAAAAGAATATCAATCAGAGGGTTTGTAGCCGACACATTGAGGTAGTGTAGGGCATTCTGAGATTCTCCATCAACTTCGAAGGGGTCCGCGCCGAAGTCAATCAAGCTGCGGAGTAGGTCCGCCGAGCCACATTCGACAGCCAGAAGAACGAGAGGTTCCGGGCTTTTGAGGTAGGCGAGATTTGGCCTGCAAATTTCCAGCATGTGAATCGCCCCTTTTAAAGCTGCGGGCGTTATTTTTTGCCCTTTCCTCATGGAGCTGAAGGGATAGAGGACGGCTTCGGCAATGGGGGTCTGGCCGTCATTCATTACCGCCCTCAGGTTGTGGTCTTTGTGCTTGTCGTACTCTTGAAGGCAGTCCAGTAGCTCGATGTCTGAATTGGCGGCTGCGAAGTGCCAAACGTTACGTCCACTTTCATCGGTGTCTGTGGTTCTTGCTCCATGGTCCAAGAGAAGCCTAAAGACCTCGGGCGACTCTGACAGCATCAGGGGTGTCTGGTCTTTATGGTTGCGAACATGGACATTGACATCTTCTCCCGATGTCAAGATAGCAGCCAGTAGAGCTATTTCGTCGGTCTCGGCCGCGTAGTGTAGGATTGTAGTTCCATCTCGAGGCTCGTCCATAGCAAATTCATCTTCTGATGATGCGCTTGATAGTGCTCTCTGGGGCGCCATCAATGCATTTGGATTCCAACGAGGATCCAAGATAAGCCTTCTCACAACTGCCGTCTCGCCATCCTGAACTGCTTCTCTGACAAGTTCTTCGTACAAGGTGTCGGAGACATCAAGAGGTCGGGACCTGGCAATACTAGAAGGACGAGCCAAATCAAAATGGTCTAGGATCTCATAGATACCTGTGGCCAATAGTGATATATCATTGTAGCTGTCGTATTCGGGAATGGCTCTGTCAAGGATCGCGGGAAGCATTCCCTCCAAAAACGAACGCGTCGGTGGCTTGAGAGGCGATGGCCAGTATTGTAGAAGAGAATCTTTGCCATGGAAGAGCTGTACGAATCTCAGATCAAGGCTAATGCCCAACTTGAGAAGTTGAAGTAGGATCTTTGGAGCACGGATCGCCTGGCAAATGAGGAATGCCAATGTTGCCAGTGAGAATTTTTCGTCTTGGCAAGGGCCAGCTGTTTCCACAGTACACGAAGCTCCTGAATCCAAGAGGACTTTTATAGTCTCCTCCTGCGAATCGGTAGGCTTGCAGTCAGACACTAGTTGTGAGGGGTCTGCAGAGCGTCCTAACAGGGCCGTTGGACCGAGCAATGCACAGTAAAGAGGGGTGCCCATAGAGCTCGGCTTATTGACGTCCACTCCCCAGAACAAAAGTTGCTCGCAGAGCCGTGGAAGCCCCAATGACGCAGCAACGTGGAAAGGAGTGACCGAGTCATCCTCGAGTCTCGACATCAGCAGATTCAGAGGTGTCATCGAGAGGGCACCGGAGCTAAGGTTGAACTGCTCCGGCCATTCCTGCCTGGCGTATTCCAATAGCCATTGAAGAAAGTGCGACGACTTCCTTGAGTGAAAAAGCACGTGCAGAGGTGTCTTGTAATCGGTGTATCGTTGGCGGGCCAAATCGGGTAGAAGCTTTGCTGCCGCACCATATTCGGGGCACTTGACGTCTCTCTCAGCAACATATTGCCGGTGTACAAAGCATTCAGTCAATTGTTTGTCAAATTCGGCATTCAGAAGTATGGCAATACACCTGTCGCTATCGATCTCTGTGGGTTTGGGTATGAGTTCGACTGTATGATCCAGGTGTTGGCTGAGAACGTCTTTGCGGTAACCGTCCGTCGACAAGCGCACGAGCAAGGCGGCCCAAGAGTCGCAACGCACAAGAGAATCGAGCTGACACTGAATTCTGTAGATACTCGAGGTAAATGCTGAGAGAGAAGGAGCCTCGCTTCTTGGTCTTGCCGAGCTTGCTGACCACGCGAGGCTGGGGTCATCAAGAAGATCGCTCAAGTCGTCAAAAAGGGTGTGGTCTGGGCACGCTGGCGAAGTGTCTTGTTCTGCGAAGTCTTCAAACAACAACCAAAGACTATGGAGAGTACCAAGAAGTTTTCTGACAGCTACGCGTGCCTCGTCGTTGACGCCGCGGTCACGCAGTAGATGGTATACTGATCGAGCTTTGGATCGAGCCTCTGTGAGAGCCTGTCCAAGCCGATGGTTGAGAGGCATCGTAGCGAGTGTAGTTGTATCGTACGCATGTACGATAGGTGTTCTTCGCCTTCTCTGGGGTTTGGAGGGAGAAGAGCAGGTGATGATGATGATTGAGTTGCGGCTGTAGTTGTAGGTGTAACGTCAAATCTCGGCCGATGTCGACAATGAGGTGTCACAGCGTGTCGCAAGCTCTGCAAGGCGGGTCCGTTGCCGCCTGGCCAATGCTGTTGCCTCCAGCGCCGTTGAAGTCCGTTTTAGCGATTTAGCGCCCGTAGGGAAGTCTCTATCCCATCGACTGCTGCAAGGCGACAGTACATCCGAGTGCGGGGGAAGAACTAATCAGGCGTTATTCCGATTTATTTCTACTATATCCGCAAATTAAAAAATTCATATCTTAGAGAATTTAGAGAAAAGCTGGAGACCATTGTACTGTCGCCTTGTAGCAGTCGATGGGATAGCGGCCGCCGCTGGGCCATCGGGCGACCTTCCTTAGTCATGCATGTTGCTTATATAATCAGCGATGACAATGTGATCACGAATCTGGAACCCTCTCGCCGTGCACCTTTCTCCCAACCAGCGATGGGTATCTTTTGCCCCAGCTACGGAATCTGAACCTCAATAGTGCCGCCTTTCACCTAAAACTCCCGAGGCCGGAATCCAAACGTCGCCAGTTATCAAAAACAATAATTTGAATTGAGACCATGCTCAACGAGCATCAAGTGCGATTCCGTGACAGCCTCTGTCGGCAGGGGCAAATAGTATTTCAACCTCTCAGCCGATACCCACTTTCCGGGAGCTCGTTTCTGCTCTAGCTCACTTGAGCTTTGCCTGCAGAGGTACAAAGTGTGACTCTCAAAACTTCCTCTGGAATGACCTCACGCTTGCCAACGGAGTCCCACTCCTTGGACTGTCTGCTTTGAAAGGACCAGGTACCAGAAGGGCATGATGAAATTTGGGAACTCTTGAATAAGATGCAAGGTGAAACTATACTTTGGACCTATGATAATGTCGTCGTCGGGCCTTGTGTGAAGCGATGAAGCTTTTCTCTGAAGAAAGAAATAAAGAGACCCCTGCGCACATGGAGCTTGTTTGTGAGGCTAAGGGTACGAACCACATCTTGTAATCGAGCTTTTATTATGACGGGTAAATTAAGCTGAAGCTGTTTTCATTGAGTTTCGCCGGAACGCTTCGCGAAACAGGACCATCTAAGTGTCTCTCTGGCCTTTGAGTCGTCTGTAGCATCTCGCCTATTCCTCATCCTCATCGTGGCCTAGCCGTCGTTTCACTCAGGCGATTGTCATGTAGGTAATTTTAGCACTTCCAGCAGCCTCAAGCTAGCTGGAATAGTCGTTATTGGCTGGTGCATTTCTTAGTTTGATTGGGATTGACCGGACCGGAAGCCTGAGCATCTGGCCAACATCTGGGGTTCTTGTGAGATCCCGTGGCTAAGGCTTGAAGCGGACTGCCGGAATTTGGTCAACCTTCGCTCGCTCAATCTAGAGCCGCAATATTTGCACGTGCAGACTTATTATCTAGCATATGTCATGGTGATATGAAATATCCAACTCTCAAAAGGCTAAGCATGCTGCAATGGAAGGAAAGGAGAGGATTGACAAAACTACCCGTTGAATACTTTTTCCAAATCCCCGTTTATGTAGGATCAGTCATAGGCTTGATTGACCTATACTCCTGCAGCGTCTAATCTGAGAGCTAACAAGTCGAGGCTGAGAGCCTGGCTCGATTATGCTTCCTTTTCTCATACGGGTGTCAGCCACCACGCTGTTACCCACAGAATGTCGCTGGTTCCCGCGTGGTTTCCCCACAGTGTCAACGGCTCTCATGCGGATGGATGGCAGTAGACGGTGAGCTGTTCATCGATCACGTCCTTTTGGCAACTGAACCCTGGGGTATGGCAGGAGGAGGAGCTTGCCGCACGAAGCTCGGGCGTGTAATGGCAGGTTCTGATATCCCCAGTGTCCTCGAGGTTGGCCGTCGATAACTGAGCAGTAAGCCACCTCAGCTGGTGGATGAGGAGCGTTGGATGGGAGAAATTTGGTGCGGCCATTGAGGCTTGATGACCTGAATGTCTGAGGCGCAAACGACGAGCGTTGGCGGTACGTACTCCCCTTTGGAACAACGGTACGTACTCGACCTAGCAGCCCGGGCACTGTGCATCTCGTCCCTTCCACCTCTCCACCTCAGCTTTCCTCCCACTTCTCAAAGTTCTCTGCATCTCTCTACCGAGTGTTTCCAGCTCGCACATCACACGACGAGTCGCAGCTGAGGAGCACAATCAGCCAGTTTAGTCACACAGACCACAGTCTCTTTCGTCTGAAGTCGTTCCCGCCTTCTCGCAGCCCGCCTATCCATGCAAGGACCGTCTGATCATCCTGGCGCCCGGACTAGACGATGGAATGCCGCCAAACTCTGGCTAAGCATAGACCTCTTTGTGTTTCTCCAGCTTCTCTTTCGTCCTCCCACGCGTGTCAATTGTGACGACTCATCAACTTATCGATCGCTCTTCACCTGAAAACGGCTCGATATTGGCCATTTAGAGCCTCCCGTAAGGATTGATACCTGATACACCTAGTCGTGAGCTAGACGCACAGTCGGTTTTTACTGCCCGCAGTTCTTCTCCCGCCCCTCCTCTTCATGGTCCCCGCCAGCGCTATTAGCTGCGATGGTCACCGGGCCACACCGGTAAACACGAGAAGCATTCGCTGGTGTGGCGACGAGATCACGGATACCGTTGGTCTGCCATTCAAGGAAGATGCCGCGGGGCACACCAACGACGGTCCATCCACCGAGCCAGTACCAGGCTCTAAAGAGCGACATGTTCCATTCGATCTGCGACATTCACGTCGATGGTATCCGAGACCTTCATTTATACTGAAACGAAAATACGGATGTCCCTCTATCTCTCCCGCCTGCGCGGCTTCCTCAATCCCGTGTTGGCGTACGGACATGGACACTGTCAGCGAAACCCCCAATAGCGACTGCAGAGCCAACCCTGCTTTCTCTCTCGCCTTTTGCTGACCGCCGCTTTCTGCATGACAACATTTCTTGCCTTCGTGTACCTCCTCACGCTACTCTGCCAAAAGCAGCATGCAACATCCAACCGCCGCCACCGGCCAAAGCGTCGCAACGGCGTCGTGCCCCTTCATGAACCCCCGACAAGGACAGGCGCCAACCAGGCGGTCTGGGAGGGACCCAAAATAGGCCTGTGCCACTCCGTCGTCACGCAATGGCGGGAGATCGTCTACCATGTGGACCAAGATTCAGCCAACATTTCCTGGCCAACCTTTGCATCTTTGGTTGTTCCTTACGCCTTCGCAGCTCTCCTCCTCATCGTCGACGCCAGACTTCGGATGGCATGGTGGCATCCTCACCCAACCCCCGTCCATCTTAGCTCCAGCACAGTGCTGTTAGGCGAGGTAGAATCGCCGTGTGAAGGAGCTTAAGGAGCTTCTCGACGCCGCCACAATCAAGTCGCCAACCGACTTTGACGCACGGTCTCGTTGCTTTTTTTACACTCACATGCAGTTTGCTCCTGGGTGACCCCTGATGGTCAAGCCTGGAACAACAGACCAGCAGCTAGCCCAGTCCTGGTCAACGAGGTCGGAAGGCCAATATCGGCAGCTCATTCATGGAATAGCTGGCAGGCATTGATGGTAGTGATCGACGATGCGCACCTGCAGACGCAAGCAAAGTCGCATATCGGGCCTCAACGTTGCTCTGCGCCATGGGACAATGAACCAAGGAGAACGCTCGGCAGACGCAGCTCATTATGTGTGTTTGTCTCCGAAGACCCAGGCTCTAGCAAGCCAGGCTTTCCCCCACAAGTTCGTGGCGTCGAGCTAAGACATCTTATTGCCTACGGCGTTTGACAAGCCTGGCACAACACCAAAGAGACTGTCCCAGTGCGAGTCAGGGTTCGTCCACTGGCGCGTTTGCTATAAGCACCGGAGGTCGGCCGTCTTTTCCATCTCCAGAGAAACCCCTCCAACTCGTGGTGGCATGTGTTATCGGTGTCAGTCACTTTGTTTCTCTGCATCACATAACATGCGGCCGTAGTCGTTGCTAACGAGTATCTTTTTCTAAAGCTGCTACTTTGTTCCTTGTAATAGACGCCTTCCGTCATATTCCTACGTTCGGCCGAGCCTGCCAGAGGGCTGTCACTTATCACGCTCCTTTTTCGTCACTCATTTTTCCTTTTCCAACCGAACTACAAACATGGCCTCTTCCATGTCTCGAAGGTCACCCGTGACACCGCCATACGATGATGACTACAACCAAAGCCCAAAGGGTCTACGGGGCCCAGGATTGAGAAGCAGTCCATCGTCGGCCTGCCTGCCCGTTCCCACCATGAGATTCTCTCCGCCCCCGACGCCCCGAAGCTCACGACCGAATAAGATGTCCTTGCGCCTGAGGAGCAATTCTGGCCTGTCATTACACACCAACGAAGACGCCTTCCGTCGATACACCGACTACAATCCCGATGGGTCCCCGAGATCCCCGACTTTTGGGCCCGGTATATGGCCCAGTCTCGACAGCGTCTCAACAAGTCTGCGCCGAAGCTTCGGGCCACCAGTCATGGAGATCGAACCAGAGACTTTGTCTATACCAGACTTCCTTGGCCGAGAGGTCTTTCAGATGGTTCTTGCCAACGCTTCCGCCTCTCAACGTTTCTTCCATTTCGCCCAAAATCATGGCTGCGGTTCGGACATCGAATTTCTTCTGAGGACCCAGGAATACGCGAAATCATTAGCACTGTTTGGGAAACAAGCCTCATCAATGCCGACACCAGCAAATCTACCTTCAACTGTCTCCAAGTCATTGAATGCCGATATGAAGCAGTTGACAAATTCTGTTCTCCCAGGTCTCGAATCGATGTTTGCAGAATCTACACGATGCGTCGAGCAGCGAGTTGCCCGGTCCATCTATCCAGAATTTGTGAAGCATCAGCTTGCCATCTCTACCTCGGCGGCTCTATCCGGCACTCGCGTCTTCAAATATCCTGGTCTTGCCGAGTCATTCTGCTTGACGGATGCCTTGAGCTCAGACTACCCCATCATCGCCGCATCAGATGCTTTCGTTTCTGTTACTGGGTATCCGAAAGTCGAGGCTCTTTCAAGCAACTGCCGTATCTTACAGGGGTCACTCACGGACCAGGACACCGTCAAACGCATCCGAGATACTGTCGCGCGGGAGGAGGAGTCGTTGGAGCTCGTACTCAACTACCGGAGAGACGGCACCCCGTACTGGAATCTTCTATTCACCTGTCCGCTCACGGACTCTTCCGGCAAGTTACGATACTACCTCGGAGGGCAGATCAACGTGTCGGACAACGTTGGTGGCTACAAAGACCTCCTCCGGATTCTCAACTTTGGGCCGGCGCTAGATGAGGTAAAGGAAGAGACCTCGGGTCGGGAGTCCCGAGTCAGTCGCCGCATGAGCCGTACGAGCAGCCGAGACAGAAAACAGGAACGGCGGACCAGTCTCCGCAATAGGGATAGTCTACACAACAAAGGGCCCAAGAAAAGCCTCTTCCAACCATTCCGAAAGCATGCGACGCACAACAGCAACAATCAGGAAAATACGTCACCGTCGCAGGGCGTTGGCCTCGGCTTGGAGCAGTTGCTAACGGTTTCGAGCTCGGAAGAGCACCTTTCGGCACCCACTCAGCTGGACACTGTTTACTCTGGTTACAGCCGATTCATTGTTTTGCAAAACACGGACGGACCTTCCGCCTTCCCACCAAGGTCATCGTCTCTACCTCCAGACCCTAACAAGAGAAAGGCCGCTCAGCTGAGTGTTGCCTTTTGTTCAGCCGCCGCGCTGGAGGCGCTCGGCCTCGGCCTTTTCGCCGATAGCATTACGCACCGAGACATCTTTACCGTCCTTTCCGACCTCGCGGACTCGCCATCGATTACGAAGAGCTTCAAGAACACGGTGCGCGAACGGGTGATTCAAAACGGAAAGACGGCCACGCTAGATATCATGCTCGGCGGTAACTACCTCGCACGGAAGGGCAGTCTCATTGGCCTCGGCGGGCGTTCATCCAAAGACGAATCAGACGGCAGCACGAAGAAACATGGACGACCTGTCAGCAGGTCGGGTTTTGCCAGCCTTGTGAGCGAGGCAGGGAAGATGGAGAAGCTCACCAGCCAATGGACACCATTGAAGAATGCGGAGGAAAAGGTTGAGTGGATAGTTGTTATCATTACACCAATGAAATAACGCAACGCTCCCTAACGGGATGGCCCGTTACCTGTTACATATGACTTAACACTGTAATTATAATGTGTATGGGATGAAGAAGGGTAAAAAGGGAGTTTGGGTGGATCGGGGAGAGGAGACTAGACAGATACCTGGGATGTATGATTCCCGACTGAATGAGACATCAACTTTTATCAATATCTGTCGTCCGATGTGTTTCCCTGACAGCGAAGCTGCCATGGGAAGTGACTCTGATAACCTGTTGATTTCGATTCGATGTACGAGACTCCCAGGAAGGACCCTCGAGAGGACAGATACGAGCATCATTGACAAGTTGGGCTTTCGACGATCCAGTGGACAGTCCAAACTTGATACAAAACTAGCATCCATGATATACTTGTAGGAAATAAGCCGTCATCCATAGCCAATGTTGGAAGTGTTTGACACAAGCACCTCATCATTGGGCAGCCACACACTACATATACTCACTCACACTTGCTGTCTCTCCAGAAGATGGCTCCAGTTTTTCTCACAAACAACAAGCACGCCATCTCGATCATAGGGAAACCCCCTCCCCCCGCCCCCTCTTAAAGTGACACGAACCCTTCATCAACGTTGCAGATTGCGGGGGACGGGAAGGGGAAAAAACAAGATCTATCTAGCACATGGCTTGGAGGGGAAAGTGAGAAGATCCGGGGAAAGAAGGAGTAGGCGTACGGGTAGGAGATCTCAGATCTCGGTTACCCGCGGGTGAGTAAGAGAACGATTAGTAGATAGTGACCGTGGAGTAGTAGCCCGTCGTCCTAAAAGGGTAAAAAAAGGGGAACAAGATGAAGAAAGAGGGAGGGGGCCACTCGGGAGAGCCGTCGTGAGCCGTCGTGAACCTTTGGCGGGCAAGACGGGATCTACGAGGGACGGACTCCCGCGGTTCTCCAGATCCACGTGTATGGACTAGTATATGACTATATGTGCGTTATACGGGGAAATGGAACGTTGTGTCCTGTTTAGCTGCCTCCGAGTACCTTTTTTCCGAAGAATCTCATGTTGTTTATCATGTGGCTACGAAGGAGAGTAAGAGCATTGCAGGGTCTCGATGGCCTAGCAACAATCTGGTGCCTTCAAAAGTCCCCTCCACGTGTTTCTATTGACTAATGCACTTTATGCACAGAAGTACAAATGCTCACCCCGATGAACAGTAAACCTACTTGAGACTCGAGAGGCTACGGATAGGCAATCGTGGCCGCGTCTCCATGGTCCGCGGTAACAGGAAGAGGACACAAGGAATAGAGACAACCGGTTGCGGCCTTCTAGAACGAAGCGGATTACGGCGAAATGAGCCGTTCTATGCAGCATGCAGACCATGCAGACCAGAGCGGAGTAGCATAAGGGGGAAGCACTCATACCCGTGGGCGAAAGAGTCAAAAGCAAGACACCAGGAAACCCCGTTGGCGAACAAATTTGCGTAAAAGATTTGACTGCATGCGCCGGCCCCGGGCATGCGGGCTGCGGCATCGGCTTGCGCTGCGTGGATCGTGAGGAACCACGCGGGGAAATAGGGCCGAAAACCTTTCCAGACTTTTCTTGGGTTTCGATAGGGGACCTGCAAAAGAGGATGGGCAATGGGCAGATTGGGGGACTTGCGCTCGTGGAGTTGGGAATAACATGAATTGACCACTCCACAAACCAACTGGGACGTCAACATTAGTAAAACCCGTGCCAAGTGGATATAATCACGTAAATATTAGCCAACGTGTGGGACTTTTTTGATGGGCTGAGATGGTACGGATGGGTAATGCGCGCTTGAAGATTTTTTTTGGTACGAGGCGCGTTCCGGGCAGATTTTCCTGTTCTTTGTGGTCTTTTTTGGTACGGTGACTCTGCGTCTTTGGGGTTTTTGGTGGTGGCCGATCAGCCCATTGACTTTTTTCTTCTTCTTGAGCTTAGGGAGTTGGGGGTGGGAGAAAGCTTGGTATCGAATGATGGATTTTTTTAGCTGCCGGAGCGGGACTCGAGTTCACCTCATGACTTTGAGACTAGAGTGAGATGCGAACACCCAGTGTATGGATGAGACGTCAGTTTGAACATACCGAAAAGACGGGCATCACCGGCAAAGAATCAACGGCGGAAGGGTTTCCGTAGATGGTGGTGGTTGTGGTGGATGAGGCTCCAGAGCCGGGCAGGGGTGCGGTGCTCCACACTTTCAACGTCCAGGCACAAAGTCCCCCAAGTTGCCACAATCCCGAGTGGGCCGGAGGTGCGGGCCCCGAGTCATTCTGCTGGGAAAGGTGCCGCTGCAAGAGTTCACAACTTCTCACACCCCCGTGGGCCGTCTGACGGCCCTCTGGCCCTGCGCGGTTCGCCATTGCGGACGCGCCGAGATCGCCTCGGCAGATGTCTCGTATGACCAATTCGCCCTGCGCGGGTTCCAGTGAGGTTGACGAGGCCGATCGCGGCGTGGCCTGGGTGGATTATATCAAGAAATCTGGTCCCCCCCCAAGGATAGAATGACTCTGAGTCTTGAATGCGAGAGATTTTCTACCGTTTCCCTCTCTTCGTCCCTCACCTGAACGTCCGTCGTGGTTCTCTCCATTCCTGAACCACTTCTCAACTTCATCCTGCTTCTTCTTCATCACGCAGGGCGACGGACGGACTTACTGACAGCTTCAACGCGTCAGCTACAGCAAACAGTGACCGATATCACACATCTGTGTGTATACTATAGGCAGAAATGGGTACCGCCACAGAAGTTACCAACAGCCCCGAGATGACGGAGGCTCAGAACCAGGCTAAGAAGGATGTCGGCGATCGTGAGGAGGCCGCGCCGGCCTACGTGCCCGCGACGGCGGAGGAGCACAACAGCGTCCTGACGGGAGAGGACGGTGAACTGATCGACTACAAGACTCTCACCTGGTGGTACGTCTAGGCTATGCTTCAACGACGCCACGGCTGTTCGTTTGCTAACCCATATACTCTCAGGCAAGGTGGCATCGTCCTCATCGCCGAGACCGTGTCCCTGGGCATCCTCTCGCTGCCCTCCGTTCTGGCGACTGTCGGTCTCGTCCCGGGCATTGTCCTCATCCTCGTCATGAGCTTCCTGTCGACGTACTCAGGCCTCGTCCTCGCCGAGTTCCGCAACGAGTACCCCTTTGTGCAAAACTTTGGCGACGCCGTCGAGGTCATCGGCAAGTCCATTGGTATGGGCGCCGTCTTCCAGGAGGTCTTTGGCTGGGCGCAGGTTATCTTCCAGGTCTTTGTCATGGGCAGCCACTTGTTGACCTGGACCATCTGCCTCAACACCCTGACCAACTCGTCTACCTGCACCATTGTGTGGGCCGTCGTCGGTTTGGCTGTTTTCGCTGTGCTCAACTTCCCGAGAACGCTCAAGTACACGAGTTACATGTCCATGGCTTGTGAGTTCAACCGCCCTTATTTCGAGAATTTGCTTTCATGAACTTTGACTTACCAAGATACACAGCATGCTTGTCCATCACCCTGGCCGTCCTCATGACCCTCGGTGACGTCGCCGTTTCCCGCCCCATCGGCTCCGGCAGCATCGAAGTCGCCCGCCAGCTCGGCTTCACCGGCGCCTTCCTCGCCGTGACCAACATCGCTATTGCCTTCTCGAGTCACTCCTGCTTCTTCAGCGTCATCGGCGAGTTCAAGAAGCCCGAGGACTGGCCCAAGGCCCTGGCCCTCCTCCAGATCGCCGACACGACGCTCTACCTGCTCGCCGCCATCGTCATCTACGTCTTCGTCGGACCGGACGTCCCCTCCCCCGCCCTCTCCGCCGCCGGCTCCAAGACGATGCGCAAGGCCATCTGGGGCATCGCCATCCCGACCATTGTCATCGCTGGTGTCATCTACGGCCACGTTGCCGCAAAGTACATCTTCTCGCGCCTGTTCCGCAACACGAAGCACATGATTCGCCGCACCAAGCTCTCCGGCATCGCGTGGATCGGCATCGTTGTCGGCATCTGGGCACTGTCCATGGTCATTGCCGAGTCCATCCCTGTGTTCAACTCGCTGCTCGGCCTCATTTGTGCACTGTTCGCCTCGTGGTTCTCGTACGGTCTTCCCGGCATTTTCTGGCTGTGGATGCACTACGGCAACTGGTTCAAGGACGGAAAGCAGACGTGCAAGTTCGTGGCCAATGTTATTCTGTTCCTCACGGGCTTCCTCATCTGCGTGCTTGGTCTGTGGGCGTCTATCGAGTCGATTGCGAATGAGAAGGGCACCAAGCCGTGGACGTGTGCCTCCAACGCCGCGCGATGAGAAGTAGGCATTGTTATTAGTTATCGCAACATCTGATGAATATAATATGTTAAATATGGACGTTTGACCCAAACTCAAGCAGCGCTTCACCGTGAGAATATCGTGACAATGCCGGATGCACAACCACGAAGAACGCCACCGAAGCGTTGGGTCATCGCAGGCAAGTATGGATCGCAGGTAAGTATGGGGCGAGTCCCAGTGGTGATCAACGCCACTTGTCTTCACAGTTCCAGACAGCCTGACTCGCATCCTTGCCGGAATGGAATGATGTCCCCTCTGTAGTTGACAGCCTGACCAAAACGAATTTGCGGAATGAGAATCACGTGAGCTGAGTTGGTTCCCGGCGATCAATCAGCCCGACTGCCGACATCCGTCTCCACCTTTCTTATCTGCTTACCTCATCTCATCGATGATGTTGGCCACTATCTCAATTGACTCACTCACTACTCACCATGAAACTACGTTTCAATTGAACCAATTCTTATCCAAACATTGCAAGACTCATTCGAAAATGGCAGTCACAGAATCAACTCGGGCCCAAGTAGTCGGGGCATTAGCTTGTCAAAAGAACTCATATCTTCGCACTCTAGAGGCAGAGGTCATCTCGTGTGAAAAGAGACCCCCACCCCCACCAACAAAGAAGACCAGCAAGGACAAATCCGCAGGACCAGTCTCCAACAGCAGCACCGATGAGGTGTGGTTGATCGAATTCGCCGACTCCGTCCTCTTTCCCGAAGGTACCGCACGACTTCAATGAATCTATTGGCACTTGAGACTTATTCAACTGCGCTCCCCAGGCGGCGGACAACCGTCTGATCACGGATCAATCACTCCCCTCTCAAGCACGGATGCTACCGCCATCCCGATTCAATTTGTCGAACGCGTTGGGCTACGATGCGTCTATCACTCTCCCAAACCCCTAGATCCCGGTGAGAAGGTACGACAAGAAGTCGATTTCCAGCGCCGATGGGACCACATGCAGCAGCATACGGGCCAACATCTCTTATCCGCCGTCATGAACACCCATGACAACCTCAACACTCTCGGCTGGGGCATGGGAAAGACTGGGGCGATGAACTACGTCGATATTCCGCGGAAACCTTCAGATGCGGAACTACAAGCCATTCAGACGAGGTGTAACGAAATCATCCGCGCCAGTTTCCCAATTACAGTCGAAACCCCGGAGGATGCCAAGGTCCATAAGATGCCCGAGGATTATGATCAGAGTAAAGGAGTCGTTCGTGTGATCCGGATCGGCGACATCGATCGCAATACGTATGCAACCCTCACACACCATGCTAAATCGTTTTTGGTAGCGTGTTGATGCTGACACACAAGCTGCAGATGCTGTGGCACTCACCTCTCCCAAACATCCCACATCTCACTCATCCTCGTCCATCACGGCGAACCAGTCCACAGGAAGAACTACCGCCTCTACTTTTCCGTCGGCGATCGAGCCATCAACCTGGCGACAGCCTCCCTCGGTGCAATGAGCTCTCTCTCAAAGCTGCTGTCGTCCAAAAACACGTCCGAAGAAATAGTCCAGACCGTGAAGACCGTGCAGAGCTCCGCGGCGGATCTCAAGAAGAGGGAAAAGAAGCTTCTCGCGGACATTGCCGAGTTTGAGGCAGACGCTGCAAAGATCAAGTTGCAATCCACGAAGAGTGTGTGGGTTCATCGCGCGGATGGCAACGCGGACTTTGTGAAGTGGGTTACCGTCAACGTCAAGGACGCTGTGATGACTTGTGGTGGAGTTGTTGCTTTGGCTACTGGCGATGACGGGAACAGCGGACAAATTTCTGTTCTCGGTGAGAAGGCTGCTGTCGAGGCACTCGTTCCAAAGATCAAAGACGTTGTGACGGGGGTGAAGGGCGGCGGTGGTGGGGAGAAGTGGCAGGGAAAGGTCACGGCATGGGAAAAGGGCAACTTGAAAGCTCTGAAGGAGTTGGTAGAGAGTTTCGAAATATGATTCTATTTTCGATTTCGCCCACAAGACATTTGGTCTCTCTCCCTTGTTCAGCTCCGTATGATTTCATTCACCATCCCGATCCCCGAACCCAAACATCTACGATCTCGGTCTTGCTAGACTTGCTCGAGTCGACTACGAGGTACCAACCATACAGAGCACCGGTAACACATGCATGGTTTGGGTAGATACTGACAGACTGACCAACCTCGAGCGGGATCTGCGGCAGATCAGAGTTCGCTCCAGCGTCAGCCTCCCACGAGAGAATAGCGTGTTCCTGACTGATCCTATCCACAATAAGCCTTCGTTCTCCCGCAGCCTCAAACCCCGGCTGGCGCCCTACAACGCCCCAGCCCGGATAAGAAGGGCAGGGCTCTCTCCCGAGACCCAGCACACCAACAGCGACGAGAGCCTCTGGCCTCTCTCGCTCGCCATCATTGTAGACGCTGCAAACTTCGGCTACAACGGAGATGGCAACCTCGTCTTCATAGCTCCCTAGCGCAGTCCGCGAATGGGTAGAAATTTGCTGCATATCGAGGAAAGCATATACCCCGGCGTGGAGTTCGAGCGTCGACTTCACCGTCGGCGACCCAGCTTGGACTTTGCCGATAGCCGCCCGAAGACGCGCTTCGCCGGACCCGCTGACCGCCGTGGCGCCCGTGAGGTTCTCGATGGCCGTGACCTGAGGAGACGCGCCAACGCTAATGGTGATTTCTCTCGAGGCGTTGGCTGCTAGGAGACTTTCGTTGGCGTGGAGGGCTTCCAGACAGCCCTCGATCTCCTCAGCGAGATTGTGCATCGCTTGGTCAGCGGTGTCATCCTTATAACTAAGACTGCTGTGTGAGTACAGCCCCACCAAGGTCACTTTGCCTTGCGCGTCTAGTTGCATAAGCTGCTCTAGCAGGCCGCCCTTGTTGAGCGCCGTGGCGGGGAGCCCTGCCCTGTGATATCCCGTGTCTACTTTGAGATAGACGCCCACTGGGAGACCGCTTAGATGATGGAGCCGACTAATTGAGTCTAGCTGGGAAGGGTGGTCGACAAGGACCGTGAGTCCGTCCTTGCCGAGTTCTTGGCTTAATGTGGCGAGGCGCTCAATCTGGGAACCGAGAAGGGGAACGCCGTAGAGGACGTTGACATGGCGGCTGGCGTCTTTATACTCTTTGAAGGTTGGGAGGAGATGCTCAATCTCTGCTACGGTTGATACGATGCAGTTGATCTTTGTTGCCTTCTCGCCTGCCTGGAGCTTTGTGACTTCTCTGGTCTGCAGCGATGGTCAATATCTTGTTCCCATACTAAGCCATTCAAAGACTTGATATGACTAAGGTACCTACTTCAGGGTTGGACCACTCACCTTGTGAGTCTTGACATGGAATCGAAATTCGACTCCCAGATCATCGACGGCTTCCAACATGGACCGGCAGTGCGTCCTGACCTTGGCCGCATCCAATACTACTGCCGGCTTCGGAACGTCTCTCACATCCTTGCCGACGTAGAACTCCCTTAGAGTCTCGACAGAGGGCGCGATTCGCTGCGGAATAGCCATCTGAAATACAAAACGTTCTGCAAAGTCCGTGGTCGAAAGGTATGAAGGGGTGGTGTTGAGTTGCGGACATAATCATGTCCGGTTTTCTCGGTTGTCGCTGAGGTTTAAATAAGCTTATGAGGTCAGATTCGGGCCGCGCTTAAATGATCAAGCGATGAGGGACACACCACATAGTTCGGGTACGGAGGTCAAACCTCGCTGCCACAATTGGTTCTTGAATTAAATGACTCACAGCCCGAGTTACGTTTTTCTAAGCACGTTTCTGCGGCACAAATTTGGCCGAATTTCGTTATGTTATGGCTATGATCGACCTTGGAGACTGCTTGTCCTATTGACCTTACTATTTTGAGCACCTATAAACATTGGTTCAGGATGCAACTATTGACAGTCAGTTACTAATTCATCGCTACCTCACAAAAACACTCGTCACTACATGATTTTCCAATGGCCTTTGCCTGCACTATTTTACTGAAGATTAGTAGACAAGTATGCTGCGATGGAAAAAGATCTCTTCACTTTTAGGTCTGTGAAACACCACGTATGGCTTTTCCTGGACATAGGTTTACAACAGCGCAGCCAATTCTTGTGTCTAAATTGTGCTTGCCTTGTGTATAACGGTGCCACGTTGAGTTCGGTGCGTCGAAGGGCGAGATATAGACGATCAGCGATATTTGTATTTTCTCGAGACCACGTTTGCCTTGAGAGGTGCTGGATATAGCGTGATTGACTGGTGACTGCAAAGCAGCTATGCGTCAAAATGCTGATGTGTTGAAGGGCGTCAAGTCTCTTGGTGTCGATGACTACGAATAAGTGTGGGAGGATTCGCTCAAAGATCCTCCCACTAGTGCAGGCTGAAGACACCTTCAAATTCATTGGGACTTCCGTAAATCTAGGGTGCAAGTGGAAAAAGTATCTAACCAGCGAATGTGAGCCAGGGTTCATCATCTTAGCCAATCCTGAACCTGCAAGATGACGCTTAGAGGTGTTGCTACTAAGCTGGTGCCTAGCACAGCCCTACCAGAACTGAACGATTAACTATTTGTGGAAAGCGACATAGCTCGCCTCAACCTGAATTACTTGGAACCTGAAGCTTATAGATAATTTCTATTCTTCCCACGAGTGACTCCGCACGTGCAGGTTCATTCATCTCGGTCACTGTCTGTCTTTGATAACACTACTGCACTGCAAGATGGCAACCTATCCCTACCGCCCCCTAGATCTCCCCAATGAAACCCGCATCCTCACCGTCCAACCCGGCAACTTCGATGACGAAATTATATGTAGCATTTCACATCTGAACCTCGACTCCCCAGACGCGCTCTATGAGGCTTTAAGCTACTGTTGGAGCAAGAGCATTGACGCCGTCAAAGAAATCGACCCCGACACTGACATCCCTTGGGCCATTCACGGTCAGGACGACGACGGCAACACGATTTCCGAGTCTGGCACGTCCAAATGGAAGGACCTTTGCGACCACCCCTACTACGGAGAGCAGTACATACGCCTGGGCGGCCGCATGCCTGACGCCCGCATCGAATGCGACGGCATAGGGATCGTCGTCGGTGGGGAACTATTCCGCGCGCTGCGTAGAATGCGAAGCAAAGAGGGCGGGGAGCCGCTTCGAATCTGGGTTGATGCGCTGTGCATCAATCAGCAAGATCTCAAGGAACGGAACGAGCATGTCAAAGTCATGGGACGGGTGTATGCTGGCGCCTCGAGAACGCGAGTGTGGTTGGGTGAGTCGACGGAGATGGATTTTCACGCAGTCTGGACGCTGTACGCGATATCGGAAATATTTGACGACATTTTTGTTCATCGCAAGGTTGTTGATTTGGCGAGCGCGACGATGCATGAGATTCAATGGCACTTTCACAACAACGCGGACACAAATCGGCTTGAATGGGGGCTCTTGGCTGATTTGCTCAATCGCTCATGGGTGAGTGTTTGCATCCCATCATGGCTATGTCCATATGCTTGCTAAAACGTATCTAGTTCAAACGTACCTGGATCATCCAAGAAGTTGTCAATTCCCGCGAGGTTATAGTCCATCTCGGAGCTATTCAGGTTCCCTGGCACTTCATGGCAATGGTCATCCTCGCTATGTCAGAATTCAAACTGCAAACCATGATTAGCGAATGCAAAGGTTTCAAGGCCATTGGCTTCATGGAACAGCTCCGGAAAGAGCGTGTTGACGAAGCGGCGACATGCACCAGCACCCCGCTTCTTACTTTGCTGGAAGAGTTGAGAGACTTCCAAGCCACAATCCCGAGTGACAAGATTTACGGTGTGCTTGGGCTCATCGATCAGAAGGGGGCCTATGTTGTCGACTACGCTCAGACACCAGAACAGGTGTTCACTGACTTCGCGATCAAGAACATTAGGAATGGGTCGCTGGACATCCTCACGCATTGCGTTGACTCATCGAAGCCGACAACTTTGAAGCTACCATCTTGGGTGCCTGACTGGACCCGTCCCGGCTGGACTGAACCGCTTCGCATTCGTGGGCTAGGGGCTTCCGCTGCCGGTGATAGAAAGCCAAGCCTACACATCGACGAGGACGCGGGCGTCTTGCATATCAAGGGCAGGATCGTCGATGTGGTGGCCAAGGTAGAATGCAAGCGGCAAATACCTGTGCCGAACCAGCAGGGCCCGTTGGCAGGCATCGACGAAAACAAAGAAGTTGAAAAAGGCAGCGTAGACAATGAAGCCGAAACTAGCGGCTCGAATGCGATCAAAATGGCAAAGTATGGCGGCGCCATACTCAAACGCGAGAGGGAAAACGAGAAAGAGGCGGGCGTGGGAGGTGATATACCTGGGAATGATACCAAGAGGTCCGGGAGCCCCATCAATGACGCCGAATACAGACTCAATGAGACAATGGAAAAGATGGTCAGACATTCAGAGGAATGGTACCGCGGCGTAATCGACGTCGCCTTCCCAGACAAGACAGCCACCCCGGAGACGTGGGAGAACCTCTGGCGGACCTTCATGTGCAACCGAACGCGGGACAATAACGAGAGACCTGGCGAGGATTGCGCGATTGGTTTCGAGGTACACTACAAGACCGCCTTGGAACCGGGTAAAGGACTCGCTCGGGTTCTGCAGGAGCGGACGGACCACGAGATCGAGTCTCACGGGTTGGCGCCGCAGGATGGGGTGGCGCATTACATGAAGGAGAAGGAGGCCGCAGAAAAATTCATTGGAGCGCATACGAAGTGGACTTATAATCGAAGGTTCTTTCGCTCGAAGGAGGGCCGATTCGGTTGGGCTATTGATGGGGTAAGAGAGGGTGACTTGGTTGTTGTGCTGTATGGGTGTGACTATCCCATCATTATCCGTGAAGATGAGCAGAAGAAATCACGGATTATTGGCGATTGTTATATCCATGGGCTGATGGATGGTGAGCCCATGGAGGAGAGTCTTGCGTTTGCGGAAACCGAGTTTGAGATTGTGTAGAGTT